GTGCTGGATTATGGAGAAAGCCAGAGAGTTCCAGAAAAATATCTACTTCTGCTTCATTAACTATGCAAAAGCCTTTGACTGTGTGGACCACAGCAAACTATGGCAAGTCCTTAAAGAAATGGGAGTGCCTGACCACCTTATCTATCTCCTGAGAAACCTATATGTGGGACAGGAAGCAACAGTTAGAACTGGATATGGAACAACTGATTGGTTCAAAATTGGGAAAAGAGTACGACAAGGCTGTATATTGTCCCCTGGCTTATTTAACTTATATACAGAATACATCATGCAGAAGGCTAGATTGGAGGCATCCCAAACCGGAATTAAGATTGCCGGAAGAAATATCAACAACCTCCGATATGCAGACAATACCACTCTGATGGCAGAAAGTTAGGAGGATTTAGAGAACCTCGTAATGAGGGTGAAAGAGGAGAGTGCAAAAAAATGGTCTGAAGCTCAGCATCAAAAAAACTAAGATCATGGCCACTGGTCCCATCATCTCCTGGGAAATAGAAGGGGAAGATATGGAGGCAGTGACAGATTTTACTTTCTTGGGCTTCATGATCACTGCAGTTGGAGACAGCAGCCACGAAATTAAAAGACGCCTGCTTCTTGGGAGGAAAGCGATGACAAACCTTGACAGCATCTTAAAATGCAGAGACATCACCTTGCCAACAAAAGTCCGAGTAGTCAAAGCTATGGTTTTTCTTGTAGTGATGTATGGAAGTGAGAGCTGGACCATAAAGAAAGCTGACCACCGAAGAATTGATGCCTTTGAATTGTGGTGCTGGAGGAGGCTCTTGAGAGTCCCCTGGATTGCAAAGAGAACAAACCTATCAATTCTAAAGAAAATCAACCCTGAGTGCTCACTGGAAGGACAGATCCTGAAGCTGAGGCTCCAGTACGTTGGCCATCTCATGAGGAAAGAAAACTCCTTGGAAAAGACGTTGATGTTGGGAAAGTGTGAAGGCAAGAGGAGAAGGGAACGACAGAGGATGAGATGGTTGGACAGTGTCTGCGAAGCAACCAACATGAATTTGACACAACTCCAGGAGGCAGTGGAAGATAGGAGGACCTGCCGTGCTCTGGCCCATGGGGTCACGAAGAGTTGGACATGACTAAACAACAACAACTTAAAGTTTGGCTCATACCTTCTGCTCTGTATTGAAAAATGCTGTATCTGACCTTCCTAAACTTATCCTATGATTAATTCAGTGTTTCACTAGCAGATAAAGCAGAACCTTCCCTCCCCTCTGCCTCTTTTCAGCCCTCCATTTGGGTCCAGAAGGTTTTTTTTGGCTGCACAGGTGTCTGCAGTGGGGAGGTTAGATTGCCCCTCCCAGTTCCACTAGATATCTCTATTCTTTGAGTAGATTTTCACAGTTGTATACTTTCTTTAATCTTATATTCTTCGTTTCCATACTTTAGTATTCTTCTAAGGCTTTTCATCCTAAGTTTCAAAATTGTAGTACAGTACTTATTCAAAACATTCATAATAAAATGTATGTAAGTAAATTATTCTTTGTGGTGTACACATCCTTTCCATGATACAGGTTTAATACTGGATTAGTAAAAAATGTATTGGAAGTAATATAACCATAATAGACCGAGATTCAAACTATTATTGAGCTATATTATTTTTATTAAGTAAGTTGTAGAAAGCTTATCAAGGAATTTATTTTCTTCAGTAATTCTGTCTTTTCAGTTTTTAAAAAAGCAATAATGTTACTTCTAATTAGCAATGATTCCTAAGAATGTAACAGGGAGAACTGTCAGTGAATGATTGCAGCTGTAGCCAGTGGATGTTCATAGGAAGTAACGTGATCAGGTGTTTATTTAAAAGAACCATAAGACTTGGTTTGAAAAAGGGGTTTAGGGAGCAGAAGCTAAATACTGCCTTTTCCTGTGTTTCTAAGGAAATAATATTGTTCTCTATTAACCAGTAGATGGGTGGGTGGAATCCTACTCAACAGTATCTTCAGGATACATTTATGTTGTTTCATATACAGTATGTTTTAATTTGTCTAAGCCATTGTCGCGACTGCCACCTCCTCCTACGATTTTAATTTGTCTAAGCCATGATAACTTGAAAAAGCATAATTTTAAGCAGAATCTAGTACTGTACTCCATTTCTGTGGATAGAATGGCAGATGTCACCTGATAACTTGAAAAAGCATAACTTTAAGCAGAATCTAGTACTGTACTCTAATTCTGTGGATAGAATGGCAGATGTCACCTGAGCTGATGCGGGGGAAAGGGATCCCCCATCTACTGTAGTTCTTCCCAAAACATTCTCCTGAGGGTGGGAAGCTTCCCCCAGCTTGTTTTTGGGGAGAACAGAGGGCTACAGTGGATTGAGGAGGAACAGCTGGAACATGTTACTCATGAATAGAGTTTGCCCCAACTACGCATAGGCTTTTGGTTATGGCATCAAGCTAATAATTTCACTTTTTGTTCACTAAAACAATGTAATAGTTTCACTAAGGATTTTCCCATGATCTAACGTCTTTTTTTCTGATATCATAAAGCAGAATTTGTACATTATTGCTGAACCTAGATGTAATATTTATTTATTTGATTTATACCCCGCCCATCTGACCTATAAGGCCACTCTAGGCGGCTATATATCTTTAATATATTTTGAGAAAACTTCATTGTGCAAAATAATAAACACACTGTTTGAAGGGAAAGCATTTGAGAATATTAAGAACTCTTATATTTTTCCTTTCATTTCTGAATAATTGATTTACTTTTCAAAGAACAAAAACTTATCCTTTGTAAGTTCTAATTTGACCCATCCCATCTCCTCACCCTCATCCTGGGTATTGGCATGAGATTCTTAAAAATGTTTTAGTGTGCTGGAAAAAATGCTTGTGATGAAGACCCTATATAGTAGTTATTGGGGTTAAAGTTACAAATTGGGAAATTACGTGTTTCACAAGAACAAGTCCCTGCATAAGATAGGTGTTCTATTTAATAGAGGTTTAGTATATTCTACAGCAGTAGTTCTTAACCTTCGGTTACTCAGGTGAACTGCAACTCCCAGAAACCCCAGCCAGCACAGCTGGTGGTGAAGGCTCCTGGGAGTTGCAGTCCAAAAACACCTGAATAACCCAAGGTTAAGAACCACTGTTCTACAGCATTCAGAGACATGTGGTAGGTTTCAAGGGTCAGATGCTTGCTTCTCTGTGTGTTCCACTTTGTTGCTAGCTTACTCCTGTTAGAATACATATGGGTGGGATGAGCAAATGAGAGTTATTAATGATGCAATATCTTTTGCCTTCTGTTTTGTCATCTGTTATTTTTATTCAACCTTGTTACTTTTTGAAAAACCAAAAGTTATAAGCTATAATGGACAGGTGAGTGGAAAAAGAAAAGGAACTTGCTGGAATAACCTGCAGGACTACAGATTTGTACAGTTATTTTACTACTGTACATAGAATGCAGAATTTAAGAAATTATGTTATATTGCATTTGTGCTCTGGCTAACACATTTTTGTAATAACTGGTAGTTTCTGACTTAATGATAGTATTAATTTGTGAAATTTCATGACTGAGCATATTTCTGCTTCAAATCCATCCTAACTGCTGTCTATTCTTTATGTCGTTTATTTAACATATAGGATCTTGGACTTGCAACAGTCTGGGATGATCAGCTATCTTATCTTTTGTCACCAGCCTTGGCAGCCTATGAACTTGAACGTACCACAAGCATTTCTTCTGGAAATGATGAGTTCCAGGATGCTATTAGGAGAGCAGTACCTGATGGTCATACATTCAAAGGATTTCCCATCCACTTCATGTACAGAAATGCAAGGAGATCGTTTGCTGCATGTCTTCGGTAAAACTTTCCCCTTTTTTACAGTACACTAGGAACCCCCATATCTGCTGAGGATTTGTTCCAGGCCCCACCACAGATACTGAAAATGGCAGGTAATAGCGAACACTAGACAGATATTTTCACATGCATTACCAGAAAGGGCCACTAGAGTGTGCCAGAAACCATGCTATGTATTAGTCACTTACAAGTACTGTATTCATAGCATGTCTCTCACTCCCTCTAGTGGTTGGTTCTGGTAATACCTGTGAAAATTGTATCTCCAAAATCTTTAGTTAACCCATTTAGTTAACCAATTTAAAACTCTTGCCAATAGCTGCTATTTTCATTCCTAAAATTCAAAACTTGGTGATTTTACAGACATGTTAAGTCATCTGTACATTTCTAGAAAGGTATACCCTTGGGTCTGTCCTATGGGTCCATCCTTGGCAATGCTGAAAGAGAAGATTTCTTAATTTAGGTTAGAATAGTGGGAGGATGTTTTATACACGGGGGCATCTTATACATGGAAAAATACGGTACTTTCAGACAGCATAAGTGAAACAGCGGGTATGGATCCCGTGCATATGGGGGCCCTACTGTATATTATTGCATATAATTTAAGCAACATTTAGTAAGGCTGGAAATAAGTTTACTAGTTGACAAAAAACAGAAATTACAGTTGCTGATTTGTGTGAAGTAACATTGTATCAACTGCTGATTATAGTTTGTAACATTTATAGTCTTTGAATAACCCTTGTTGAGCATGGAGTGCTAATTTTAAGAAGTAATACTGGTAATAAATTGAAACCCTCTGAAATTGGCAGGACGATAGGCAATGGCAGGGTCAGAGGTCTGGAAACCAAGTCCTATGAGGAAAGACTTAAAAAACTGGAGATGTTTAGCCTTGAGAAAAGAAGACAGGGGGGTGATGTAATAACACTTTTCAAATACTTAAAAGTCTGTCATACAGAGTAGGGACAGGATCTGCTCTCAATCATCCCAGAGTGGAGGACATGCAACAGTGGGTTCAAGTTACAGGAAACCAGATTTTGATTGAATATCAGGAAAAATTTCCTAACTGTTAGAGCAGTAAGATAGTGGAACCAATTACCTTGAGAGGTAGGGAGTGCTCCAAGACGTGAGCCATTAAAGAAAAACTTAGACAATCACCTGGCAGATATCCTTTGATTTGTATTGCTGCTTCGAGCAGGGGTTGGACTTGATGGCCTTATAGGTCCCTTACAACTTCACGATATCCTAGACCCAGGTGATAATCCTGCTGCTGTTCAGTTATGGAGGGTCTCATGATATCATATTTCTACATCCAGAAATAACTTTCCAAGCCCCACTCTGGTAAATGTTATAATGCAACTCAGTCAGCCAGAAGCCTGGTCTTACTGCTTTCAGCTGATTATATGTCAGTGGCCAATAACTTGTTTACAGTTTCTACAAACTGAGCTTCAACCTGAGTTTAAAAATTAGTGAGAAGCTATGCTTGTTTTAATTATTCAGATATGATAGTCAGAAGTTTTAGCTAGATTGAAAAACGTCAGTGAGCAGTTGGTGAAAGTTGAGGATAGTTGAGATTTGCAAGGGGGGACAGGGAAGTCATGCTGTAAAGCTGTTGTGAAGCTTCAAGCGGACATCACAACCTAGCACCAGAAGATTGCAGACAAGGATTTGACCAGTGAAGACTCTAGCATGTCCTTGAAACAGAATCATTCAAGAAACAAAAGTCAATATGAATAGCTGGAGGAAAAAGAAATTTGGTGTATAGCATTTATTCCTGATTTTAAAATATTGACTGGGGTGGAATTCGGTGAAATACAGTCGGAAGGGAAAGTTCTTCACAGGTTATTTAGGTGGGGAGAACACTTATTCTTGGGAATTTTATTAGAATATATTTATGTTCATCTTAACCTGTCATTTAAATAAGTATTATTCTTTTGGAAATAATTCCTATAATAAATGCAGTGGTTTTGTATATCTTAATGGTGTTCTACATCCCATGCTTGTTCCATAGTTGGTAGCTGTAGGGTTTTCAAAAATATAAAGGTGGCAGTGACTGAAGTTTTTATATAGTTGAGATAGAAGTTTTATGTGGCAGAAGTTCAATGGAGTCACATTTCAGTAGGTTAGAAAGGGAACAGCAAGGTAATAATCTAGGGTGTGTTTTTTTTCAAATTTGTAGGAGCAATGAGATAATTTATGTGGCTTTTCCACAACTTGTAAGAGAAAAGTAACATAAAAAATATGAATAGAGTACAGTATTTGAATAGATCGATATTATATTCATATGTGTTGAGCTGTTAGAAACAACTGTTGTCAATGATTTGTACTATCCTTCCATTAAAATTTGTTATTACACTTACAATGTTTATGTGAATGTTAAAGTATAAAGCCGTTAATTTTTACATATGTGTAAAAATGTGTAATTGGAAATTAACAAATGTTAATTCTGTAGTCTTCATGATTACTGTTATCTAATTCTAGATCTCAATCCATTTTGCTCATATGAAAACTATTAAGTGTTCTACATGAATTTAAGTCAACTGTCAAATATTGTAAAAAATACAGCTGTTGGCATAATAGGTTGCAGAGAACACACTGTGCTTGATATGGCTTCATCCATAGTAACAATAAAGTAGTGTTAGGTTATTGTCACTTGACATGCCAAATGCCTGAAAAGAAACTACTATGGAGATGATTGTTAGCATCTGCTATCCTTTTTTTTCAATGTGGGTAGGCAATCAATGACTTCATAGATCATTGATGCCACTGCTGCTGAGATTCGGTGACATATTAATAAAAAATGGATTTTTTATTTTAAAGTGTCATTTTTGTCCTTGAAATATGTGCACCCCTCACACCTTGTTAACAAGTAGATTTTTACCAAGGTGTGAAAATTTACTTGTAAGCAAAACATATATTAAACATGAACCTTTTTAGAGACTGAAAAGGTGCTTTAAAAATTAAAACACCGCTGTTTTGCCACTAGATTTCAGCATTTGTTATGTAAAGTTACTTTCCCATCCTTTAACAGAATAATTGAAAAAACAGATTAACTGACAATGGTGATTCATGTTTTTGTTTCTTTAAATAGGTCTCCTTTCTGTGAGGAAATACTGTGTTGTAGAGGGGACCAAGTGCGACTTGCAGTTCGTGTTAGAGTGTTCACATATCCTGAATCTGCATGTGCTGTTTGGATCATGTTTGCTTGCAAATACCGTTCGGTAGTTTAAGATGTTCACAATTTTGGCTGAAATCTTCTGTAGATAAGCGGGAGTCCCACTGAGATCAGAGATTTCTGTGTGTATTTTTGGTATCAGGCTTGCATTTTGCTCCTGAATGCATTTACTTGGAAGTAAATCCCATTGATCTTCAAGGAATGTATTACTGGGTATGCTTCAGATAATAGGTTTGTAGACCACAGTGTCTGTATTAAGAGATACTACTAAAGTACTATTCTAGTAATGGTATGATTTTTGTCAAAGCTGTTGATGCAATAGCAATAGAGTGTCTATGTAAAGTATGTGCTTCTGTGTATAAAATATCATGAGAAAAATATTGTACAAATATTTTATGTATATTTATGTATCAATAAAATATTTTTATTTTAATAAAAGCTTTATAAATAAAGATTTCTAGAAGTTTAAACTAGCATTTACTCTTCCACATTTTACATTTCCAGACTGGATTTTTTTTAAATAAACATTTTCAGTAGCAGTGACAGTATGATGCACTTTCTTTTGAAAAAAAAAATATGCTTGAAAAACCTGTAGAACAACAAACAAAAAGTATAGAGAGAAATACCAGAGTGTGTGCTCCTAATCTTATAGCACACTTGCAGTGTGATTAATTGTTAACCAAGACAGACTGAACTGGTAGAAGCCATACATTATGCCCCCATAGGTGCAGCTGTGGACATGTAATACTCTATATTTACAAGTTCTATAGTACCAAGATACTCTAATAACTGAAGTTTGGTTGTGCACTACAGCTCTGGGTTTAGTCCAGATTTAGATGTGTGCACTTGGGAATGAAAGAAGAGTTCCCTGCACTTTTCTTTCCACAGAAATTCCTCCAGTGCCCTGAAAATTCAAGGTCAGGACAACTTGCTGAATGTGGTGAGCCATAGTGGTAGGACCTTTGAAAGGAACAGTTTATAAGCAGAGGTAGTGGTACATAGTAATTCGCTGTATGAACAAATTCTAGTGCATTTCTAGGAGCCTCAATAGAGATAGTAAACTGCATAATATGAATAACCCACCAGTAATTAATTGATTTAGAAGAGTTTTTTTTACCTTTCTGGTGGGAAATCATGTGGTTTCTTCAGTAATGTCTACTGTAGCTGTCGCCCTTTGCAAATCCTAGGTAATTGCCAGAAATTGAAACTAGGATTTTTTGCATGCAGTTTGGGCTTGACCACTGAGCATTGAGGTTTCCCCTCCCAAAATTAAAATTCTAAATGTTTGGAACAGTATCTAGAAAGCTACCATGTTTCCCCGAAAATAAGACAGGATCTTATATTAATTTTGGCTCCAAAAAAGCATTAGGGCATTTTCAGGGGATGTTTTATTTTATAGTCATGTCATCTTCTGGTTGCTGCACAATGCTGCACAATGGTGGAGGGTGGGGTTTCACTTAACTAGGGCTTATTTTTGGGGTAGGGTTTATAATATGAGCATCCTGAAAAATGATACTAGGGCTTGTTTTCAGGTTAGGGCTTATTTTCAGGGAAACGGTATATGTACAAGTCGAAAGAGATCACATTCCTCCTATTAATTTAAAAATAACATACTGTACTAAGGCCAGCATAGCCATTTCCTTTCACCTGGCCAATGGCCAACCAGGCAGCTTTGGTGCTTAATATTTTCTCCCTTGCGGATGCCAGATACACATGGCTGAGTGTACAGTTACACTATGAAAATAAATCTGAAGATGGATCAATGTTTTTGAAGTTTGTTTAAACTCATGTGGTAGTCATGTAGTGTTTTTTTTTGGTTGATGTGTGCATCCTCTTGGGAAAACATTTTAAACCTGTTTTTAAATTGTAGGATAGCAGTTATGGGATCTACAGTGGCTTTTAAAATCATTGCATTTGAGACTTTGTCCTGTGCCCACCTGCTGGCTGCCTCTCACAGCCACTTGCCACTACTGGTGAGGTGGATTTTTTTTAAAATTTTAAAACGTTGCTTTCAAACAGGAATACGCAGTGCTATGTGGATAGGAAAAAACCATAAAAACAGATTGGACTGCAAGGTTTCCCTGCAGCCTGTGAAGGGAGAGACACACACACAGCAGAAGTGGAAAAGGAGTGAGGGAAGGGCAGCTGGGGCTGAAAAGAGGGGGAAGGCACACCAGTAAGTGGCAAAGAGAAATTGAGGAGAAATTGACAAGCCTGCAGCTTTTAGGCAGGCGAAAGGAGGGAGCGCTTTCCTCCACCCAACCTCTCTCTCTCTCTCTCTCTCTCTCTCTCTCCTGGTTCTCTTTTGTGATTTTCCTAAAACCTAAATTCTACTCTGTGCTTTCCTTGTAGCACAAGCCAGTCCTGTTCTTCTCATCCCCTGCCCGCTTTGATTGCAAGCAAGAGTAATGAAGAGGAAGAGAGAGAGCAGAGAGACTCTGGCTCAGGAAAGCACACAGAACAAAACGATTCAAAATAAATCAGGTTCATAATTGAATTAAAACCAACCTTTCCCAGCTGTTTTAAATACCTTGCTTTCTGAAGAAAAAAACCAATAAAAATAAAATGCGTGCTAAGTTGTATGCTGTGTAAACAAATATTTTTCTAATTGAATTCAAGCCTGAGAAACTCTGTGTAAACCCAGGAGTACAGTACACTACAGTATTTCAACGTGGGACCTAGTCTGAGCTGAGGTTTGTTACTTCTCCTCACGCTCCCCACCCCCCACTTCTTCTTGCTGCCCTTCTTTCCCACCGGCAGGAGGCAGTAGAGGCAAAGATAGCGGGGGAGGGGAGGGACGCCATTGCGTTGCTATGAGGTGACTCCCGCCCTTTATGCTCTCCTCCCTTCCATGGAATGACTGAGTTGACTGACTGGCTGGCTCTTTGGTCGCAGCGGCGGCTTCTTTGCCGGTGACTGAGGCGGCGTTGTTCGGGAGCTCACGCGCTCGGTTGCCTGAGGGCGGCGGCGGCGGCGGCGGAGGGGAGGAGGAGGAGGAGTTGTTGTTTAGGGGAAGATGAAGGCGGCGGGCAAGGAGAAATCTTGGCGGCTGAGCTGAGGTGCGCCGCAAGCCGAGCAGAGCGGAGGAGGACGAGGGCAGCCCCCCACACAGGCTTTTTCTCTCTCTCCCCTGCCGAAGGCATGGCTCAGGCAGGGGCGGCGGGAGGCGACGACGAGCCCTTGCCGGGCACTTCCATCGGCCGCGGAGGGGATGGAGGAGGATGCGGCGGAGGAGGAGAAGGAGGCCCGCCGCTGGGGATGCAGGACGCCCTATCGCTGGACGAGATCCTGAAGCTCTACAACCAGCCCATCAACGAGGAGCAGGCTTGGGCCGTTTGCTACCAGTGCTGTGGGTCTCTCCGCCACCGAAGCCGCCGCGGGGAGTCTCCGGCCCGAAGGGTGGAGAGCCCCGCCGACATCCGTATCTGGAAGGACGGAGCCGTCACCCTGCACGGCCACGACGGCGCTCCGGGCCCGCCGGGAGCAGGTAAAGTAAGCTGGTCCGGCAGGGCTTCCTGGCGAGCCCCCAGCCGGCCCCGTTCAGCCTCCGCTTGGGGGGGGGGCTTGGGCCGGTTCCACGAGGAGCTGGTTGTCGTTTTCCCTCCGGGGGTTGGGATGAATCCTGCCTTAGGAGTGCGTCCTCAGCTCCCATCTCCGTCTCCCCCGCCATCATCTCTTCCTTCAGGGCTCTAGAGTTCATCTCTTCCCGGAAAGGCAGTGCAGATAGGGGAGATATGTTACTCTTCTTTCCCCTATTTCTCTATTTCTTCAGGTTTGTTTCTAATATAGATGAAACTGAATTTCCTCCTTTAGCCTCAAGGTAATGGGATTTCCTCTCCTCCCTCCCCTCAACAGCACAAAAACACCGCTGTGCATCTTGTTCATATGCTCCTTTCCTCAGCTATTCCATTTATATAAAGAGCTTGTTGTTCGGCATCTTCTTTTGCTTCCTCCACTCTAAATATGGCATTTTTCCCTGTTGGCTTGAATGACAGAGGTCAAATGCTAATGAGAAAAATATTTTTCTGTCATCATCTGCTGCATTATGGCTGATGTATACAGCAGTTCTGAGTCTGCAGGGTAGCTTAAGGAACTTGAGCAGATGCCTTGATTTATGCTATTGTATTTTCCATTTTTAATACAATGACAGGGGCAATGGGTTCTATAAGTCAGTCTATTTGACTAAAGAGACAGTATCAGAAAGATAGGGTATGTTGGTTTGTCTGTATATTTACCAGAATTGCTCTAGCTCCTTGTCTAAGTGAGAGTTTTCTCTGCTTCTGCTCAGAGAAGGTCTGTAGAAATGAAAAGGATGCAAAACAGCTCATGTAGGTCAGCATGGGAATAGAGGAGGGCCCTGCAAAGCAAAACAAAGAGAGCAGCTGTCAGAGCCTCAGCATGCTGTTTGCAGGAGGTTTTAGTATCTGTTGGCTTTTTGTCTTTGTTTACCCAAAACAAGAGTGCTATCTGAAACCAAGTTATTCAGGAATAAATTCTGTTGACTTGACATCTTAAGCCTGTAGTTCTGCATTTGTTTGTAAGATCATTTTATATAAAACACAGATTGAAATACATTTTGAATAGAAATCAAACATTTTATTTGCAGTCATTAATAAAGGAAATATAAACTATATAATTTATACAGGGAATAAAATGGGGCTTTGTGAATTCTTCTCTTCTTGAAGTATATATTTTGTGCAATATATTAAACAGATTCAGTAGTTATGTATACTCTGCACTTTATGTACATGAGTAATGTAATTGTATATTACCTAATCTTATAAGTGTTAGCCTGTGCCTTCCAATGGCTCTAAATATACCCACTGCCTCAAACATACTCTCTAGCAATAAGCAGATTATGCTTGTAATTTTACAACAAACTATTGCATACAAAAAGTGACACATAGCTTGCATCATATAAATCCTAATTTTGCTCTGCATTTCAAATGAGTATAATAGAACATGAGAAAATGTTAATATGCAAGAATAAAGAAAAGTAAATTGAATATGAATTGAATTTCATGGTACGGAATTTCTGTAATTTGTTGCTGTAGGGAGCATAATAGGAAAATATACTGTTTTGTTTAGTCCACCTGGTATTTCCTGCTGGATTGTCCATACTCTCTTTTAGAAGTGTTGTTCACAGCATATTCTATAATGTTGCCCTAGATCAGTAATTTGTCTGCATAGTATTGTATTTTATACAGGCGAAGGATTTCTATGACATTTCACATTTTTTCTGCAATCCACATTTGAACCCATAAGGAACTTCAAGCATGTTTATGAGTAATCTGGCCTTTCTCACCAAATTACTCATAAACATTTTCAAACCCACCCAGAACCTCAGACATAGGCTGCAGAAACTAATATGACATGTCATAGAAATCCCCTGCCACGTGATGTAGCGGGTTTTCCTATTTACTTTAGCCTTCCTGTGAGACATGGCTCCAAAAGGGTGGTGGGTTTAAAAATCAGTAGCATATACAAATGAGAACATTTTCCAAACCAGCTGCTTGTCTCCTTATATTTCCTTTCTGATCTACAAGCCAACTTGAAGTGAAAGAAAACTGCAAGTGGGAGTTAAAATTCCTTACCTGCATCCTATTTTCATGTTAAAAATATTCTATCTTGATAATTAGAGAAGATCCAATTTTATACACACATCTGCTCCTGTGGATTTAGACTGATATTCCTTGTAGTGTAGTAGAAATAGCACAGCAGACATGGATAGGAGTAACAGTTATCATGTGATCTACTCATAGAAACTCAAGTTCAAGGTTGGACAATACCTTTACAGGACCACTAAAAAGTTACAAATAAGAGACACTTTCAAGTTGTCCAGAACACTTAATCAGGTAAAGATGGTATAAAGCCAAGATGTCTAGTAAAGAGGGTACTTTTAAAAAACAACTAAAAACTTTGATGTACCGGCAGGCCTTCCCGTTTATCAACTCCTGATCCCCCTTCCTTCTACTTCCTCAGTTCTGTCCCATCTTGTCGTAACCTTTCCTTTGTATAATTATTTTAACTGTATTGTTGTTGTTTTATTGTTGTAAGCCGCCTAGAGTAATCTTAATTGATTAGATAGGCGGGATATAAATAAAATAAAATAAATAAATAAATAAATAAATAAATAAACTGAACAGACAGCTTTATACATGGACATCACAAAATGCCAATATAGCTCACTGAAAGGCACTTGGCAAATTTGGTGCGGGCAGGGCAAAGCTTTTTATCTGCAAAGGGGAAGAGACTGCAAAAAGATACCTTTGTCATCTCTGTCACACATAAAATCTGAACTCCATTTGGCTTTATTGGATAAGCTGTGGACAACACATCTGGCCCAATGTTTGCCTTAACCCCTAGTTTTATCCCATCTTTACCAATGAAGAATCCTAGAAAACTCAAAAGCTCATCTGATGTGTAACTTTTATTAATCCGATAAAGGTAGTACCTAGCTTCAAACATCTTTCACTCTTTAGTGTTCATCCTGACAATGTTATACAGTGGTGCCCCGCACAGCGAGGTTAATCCGTTCCGGATTAACCTTCGCTGCGCTG